AATACTTTGTGAGTTAAACATGTTACTTGCGTTGTTTCTTAACTATGATGCAGTTAAAAGTTTATAATAAAAATGAAGTGTAACACTAATCACACGTTAACAGGATGAGACACGCTGCACTGTTCTGGCTTCTGACTGTGATGACATTTTAGAAGACCTTGGTGTTAGGCCTCTTCACTTTGAGAGTGAAGAATGTCAAGCGTCTGCATCTGTGGAAGCAAAAGAGTTAGGCAAGTCAATTCCAGGATTTGTTTTCATTACACAATGTGTAGTGCACGCCATGTATGTCTACACCCAGTTTATTTGTCTAACATGCATTGTAAAACTTATTGATAGTTAACATTTAGCGAACATGCCTATAGTTCCAGGCTTTTCCCTTTGCTGGGACAATGTTCAAATTGAGACGGAAGTGCGCCACCAGGGAAGCCATTCGTCCAACAGCGTTTTGCTCTGGGCAAACGCTTATGCTGCATATAACAGAGTTTCGTGCAGGTATTCGACCATGTCAATATGCAGTTATACACCAAATCAATTACCCTGCTTACAAACCAGTTTCGAATAGGTTCGTTTAATTGTTTGTTTTTGGATATCATTGCTTCTGATTACAAATACATAACCTACAAATCTCAAGGTTCTGTTTTTTTGTTGGATAACTTATAATAAATAAAGTTATGTGCTATTTACTAAACCAATTTTTGCTTGATGAACAGGGCATATGACCGCGATGAATTAACAACACCTGCGACAGCGCTGCCTTTGCAGTGTTTCCTCCCCAATGATGATGACTATGAGCAGTTGCGTCAGCTGATGGAAGCAATTGTCAGCCGCATACTGTTCCGATACTTTGCGACGTCTGACACCGACCAAAGTGGCGTCGTGACACACATCCCGCATGAGCACGCTGCAGAGATGCGAAGACAGAGTAAAATTGTAAATATTTACTTACTTACTTAATCATCTTCACTCCTACCTGAGCATAGGGCCTCCACTAGTTTTCTCCAGCGGACTCGGTTATGTGCTGTCCGCTTGATCTGCTCCCACGTCATACCGATCTCCATACATCAGGACGCACTTCACATTTGAATTGAAGATTCTCAGCTTTTGTAAATATTTTATAATGTAAAAAATGTATAGTAATGACTTTTAAAGTAGCATAATTGCTGCACCGACGTAGCAGTTATTTATAGGTTATTTCTTACATAGATGCGCATCAGCAATATCAAAAATTGCTTTGAATGTGTAGGTGAACATTGGCATTATTTCGGAGAATCCGTCCACAACAGCCGGTGCCATAAGAATCACCGAGGTTCTCCAGAAATATGTTCCTACACGTGGTGATGGAAGCATGTTCACCATCCCTTGCCATGGGGATGCTCTGACTGTTGAGCGAATCTTCGATGGAAAGAAGAGCAGAGCACAGGACATAGCCGTATGGAGAGACTGGAGGGAATACATCCCGTTCCCCAGGAGTTTCACAAACGTGCTATTCTGCTGCAGGACACCATGGAATGCCTGTTCGACGCGTCAGAGTGCTCGCAACAAGGGAACACTATATAACATCAAGAACGTTTTCAACCACAGGTAATTTCACTCTATATCAGTATTCTTTGTATCTGTGAACATATAATACCTACCTAGCAACGAGAAATAAACTTGCTGACGATAACGACGAAAGAGCTACTCAATGCATTTCTGTATTTACTTATCACATTAGGAACTTGAAGAAAAAGGTCATGGAAAACTTCAATCATGTTGAGGATTTTCTCAAGTTCACTACAGCTGCCATGGTATGCTATCTGGCGATGATGTTGTGCGGTACATCGAAACTCACAGACAAACTGACGCTCGATGTGTCTCATCTTGCAAGAAGCATCGTTTCGACAGTTTGGTTGCAGGTGAGATATGACATAAGCGGTTTAAACATATGCTATGACAGTTGCAAAGGAAAAATATAACTCCATTCTGCAAATAAGGTGTTTGAACATTTAATATCATATTTTCGCCACAATTTGCTTAACATTGAAGGTGTCATTGTAGTCCCGTCAAATATTGTACCTAAAATTCTTTGGCAAAATTCAATGTGTGCTTATCCTACCCTGTTAACGTAAATACTAGCATTCACGTTGTATAACGGATACCAATATGCATGCTCAGCTGCCAAAAGAAGACCTGGCAGATGTCGTCGAGGGTCACAACGACATCTGTTCTGAAACTGCCGAAAATGCTGCATCAGCATATGAGTACTGCACATGCATGGAAGGTACATTACATTTTGTCCCATAGCCTTAAACATAATGTTTGCCACTTTCAGTCCCTTAAACATTTTAAATGGTATTGCAATCGGTTTGTAAACATGGTGTGCGAATGGCATATGAATAATTTGTTTGACACACCTAAATTTCTAGGGCGGTGTTCTATGTTTGCGTGTTTCAGAGCGAGACACTGCTATGATAGCATGTGACAACATGCTGTGCAAGAGTGGCATGTGGTTTCACCTCGATTGCATGGGCATAACTGAATCCACAATTCCTGACGGAGAGTGGTTCTGCTCAGATGAATGCCGCGCATCGAAGAGTGAGAGCCCATGCCTGAATGAAGGCGAACTCGACCACGTTCTCGAATATAGCAAGTCTGTTTTATGGCGAGGGCTCCTTGACCGAGCTCAAAGAGACGTAGTCCGAGAAGGTGACGGCGCTGCCCAGATCAGCATGTGGCGCATCTCCATGCCCGAGTTCTGGCTGAGGCGCCATCACAAGTACCTCATTCTTGGTCACCGCCTTCTAGCAGGTAGCAAAGTGCATTACTTTAAAACACAACCATAAAAATGCGAATCAAAGTTAAAAAGCTTCTTTAAGCAAAGGCATGGCATGTAAGATTTGATATCAACATCATATTACCACTGCAAAATACATAAATTTACATCACTTGTTATTATTCGGCCCAAAATGTACACGGTACCCAAACTCTAGATAAGAGTACCCTAACTATAATTTGAAACTTGTACAAAACTCATTTCCACCACGTTTGAAGGTGTAGCAGGATTCCTGCCAAAGCGCCTGGCCATGGACACAATGTGGAATCGCACTATTAATCTGCACGGTGGCGCAGGCCACAACATTCCCATGGATCGAGTTTGCGAATTTCTTAACGACGATTTCAAAGGTACAATTGTACTAGTACCAATTTTATAAAATGTAAGTGGTTGTAGTATACATTACTCGGATGATTTTGCATCTAAGTATTGCTTTTGACAATGTTTGCAGAAATTCTAAAACACTCAAGGGGGAAGTACACGGACGCGCAGGTGCAGAGATGTGGAAGGATAGTGGGTCCCCTTGGGAACGCGCTGGATGACAAATTCAGCGAGGCAGTAGAGGAGGCAGCTGTTCGATCTGTCAAATTAGTCAAACACATATGTGTTTGNTGGTATACCGCACCGTACCCAGGATACGTTCCGGCAGTACCCTGGGGGACATAGACCCTATGAGCGTTAGCTAAATACTGAATAATAGGCAAAAAAAATATTGCTGTTTTTTTAATCATGCCTTAAATGGTTATTATGCTTGAAATGGATTTCATTATTTAATACATTGACTGCGTGGGACATTTTATAAGGTGTATGCTTTTAAAATGTATGTTATTAGTTCTTCACATAAATTTACACATTTATTACAGGGTTAAATTTCACTATTTCTATGTTCCAGGCGAAGACGTCGTTCAAAGCAATAGCTACCAATATGATCAAATTGTCTCGCTACGAACGAGCACTGGCTGTTCTGTGGAAGTCCAGCAAAGTATTTCAGGTGGCGCTCAAGTCTTTCGTTAGGAAACAAACTTACAAAGAAGTGCAAAACTTCACCAGGCAACCGAGTATCCTGAAGAAAACTCTCGAAATAGAGAGCATTTCGACGTTTTCTTGGAGCAACGTTGTAAAGGAAATCAAGACAAACATGCCTGTCGCACACAGTGTGTTTTCGGGACTACTTGAAAAGAAAACCATTACAGCTGGTGCTGTCCAGAACATGCCTATTGCAGACCAAAAGCTTGGAGCTTCTGTTGCAGTCGCCCTGGCCAACAGGAATCCCAAAGCGTACAAACTGCTGCAGTCATGGGTAGCAGTGCAACTTTGGAGAAGCGGCTGCAAACAGAAGGTATCCCTCTTGAGATATAGTGAATTGTTGCACCAATGTCTTTTATTCAATACTGTTCCACTTCACTGTGTGCACATTACCTTTACAAAGCATTACATATTAATAGCTCTTTAAATGTTATTTCCTAGGTTTTTTCCAACTTGCGGTCAATCGGCATTTGCCAAACTCCGATGAACGCAAGGAGATGTGTCGATCGCATTGCGAAGCAGTTCGATGCAGAACTCAAACAGTGGAAGAAAACCATTGAGGTCAGTTGTTTACCTGCATTGCACTTTGACAACTTATGAATAGAATACTTTGTGAGTTAAACATGTTACTTGCGTTGTTTCTTAACTATGATGCAGTTAAAAGTTTAGAATAAAAATGAAGTGTAACACTAATCACACTTTAACAGGATGAGACACGCTGCACTGTTCTGGCTTCTGACTGCGATGACATTTTAGAAGACCTTGGTGTTAGGCCTCTTCACTTTGAGAGTGAAGAATGTCAAGCGTCTGCATCTGTGGAAGCAAAAGAGTTAGGCAAGTCCATTCCAGGATTTGTTTTCATTACACAATGTGTAGTGCACACCATGTATGTCTACACCCAATTTATTTGTCTAACATGCATTGTAAAACTTATTAATAGTTAACATTTAGCGAACATGCCTATAGTTCCAGGCTTTGCCCTTTGCTGGGACAACGTTCAAATTGAGACGGAAGTGCGCCACCAGGGGAGCCATTCGTCCAACAGCGTTTTGCTCTGGGCAAACGCTTATGCTGCCTATAACAGAGTTTCGTGCAGGTATTCGACCATGTCAATATGCAGTTATACACTAAATCAATTACCCTGCTTACAAACCAGTTTCGAATAGGTTCGGTTATTTGTTTGTTTTTGGATATCATTGCTTCTGATTACAAATACATAACCTACAAATCTCAAGGTTCTGTTTTTTTGTTGGATAACTTAGGACATAACTAAAGTTATGTCCTATTTACTAAACCAATTTTTGCTTGATGAACAGGGCATATGACCGCGATGAATTAACAAC